CATCCTGTGGGTTTTATATCTTCAATGTGGACCTTTGAACTCTCTGGGGCAGAATATTTGACCAAGTAGTCAAACTTTCCCCTGGGTTCCCCTAAAGTATCCCATATTTCTTTCTGAGGGGAGGTTGGCTTCGTGATTTGGACTTTCTCCAATTCTAGCCTCAGGCCTTCAGTAACCTGCGTCAACTCTTGGTTTTGGTTTTCCTGGCCTTCAGTAGCCTGGATTTCTTTTGCAACATCTAAAGGTGCTGCTTCAATCGAAGTCTCTGGTTGCTTGTGGACGTCTTCAGTGACCCCCTTATTGACTTCGACTATCACCCAACTTTCATTTTCAGTACCTTTCTCTCCTACTGGAGCGTCACTTTGGTCAGCTTCCACCATGTTAATTTCCCCAATGCATGCAGGCTCGGAGTAATTGGTGTCTGCAACGTCCAAAGGATCTTCGTCTACTTTCATTTTTGCTTTATCAGCAAACTTCAGTCTGCCATCTTTAATTGCATTCTGGATTAGGTCCCTGAAAAGAAAACACTGTGAGGTTTTGTGGCCTAGGAAACTATGATACTTGCAAAATCCTCTTTTCTTTCTTTGATCTAAAGGAGGTATTTTGACATTTGATGGCACAATGAGTTGGCCATCTTTGACAAGTAAATCAAAAATCTCGTCACACTTAGTTACATCGAAGGTATAAACCTTCTTTGGGAATTTGTCACTTTTCTCATTTTCAACAATTTCTTTCCCTTTTGTGGGAACTAACAATTTGCAGGAGTAAGGTGGTGCCTGTTTTAATTCAGCGAGGTCGATTTCGACCTCTTCGAATTCGAATTCAGGATAATCTTCTGCTTCCTCAGTTCCAACATAGGAGATCCTTTCCTTCTTGTTATTTTTAAAGACTCTGGCCTTTTCGGCCTTTAGCCTTTCGACCTGTCGAACCCTATCGGCTAATTGAGCCATATCCCTCAAGTATTGAGTGTCTAATTTCTTTCGAATAGAGTAATCCAGGCCGCCAGCAGCCATTTCGACTAACTCATGTTCAGGAACTACTGTGAAACATCTAGATTTCAAGAGCCTGAATCTATTCAAATAATCATCTATGGGTTCAGTAAACTTCCTCTTGACACTGGCTAGTTCCTTCAGACTTATTTTTGATTGTCCCATGTAGAACTGTTCATGGAATAATCTCTCCAAAAGAGCCCAAGTATCAATGGACCCAGGAGGCAAAGTGGTGAACCATGTGAAAGCGTTCTTAGTCAGGGAACTTGGGAAATATTTGATCCTAAGCTCTTCATTATTGGCTATATCTCCTGCTTCGGTTAGATACCTGGCTATATGTTCGACTGTTGATTCGTTGGTATCCCCAGCAAACTTTGTAAACTTAGGGACTTTATATCCCCTTGGTAAATCAGTGTGCATTATATAATCTAATATAGGGGAGGCGTAATTTGGCCTTCTAATTCCTGTGTTGAGGCCATTATGGGCCATGATTCTCTCTATCATGGTGGTTAAATTATTTTCTGCCAAGATGTTATCGTTTCGAATTCTATGAACGACTGCATCAACATCTTGATTTCGACCCACCATGACAACCCCTCTAGGTTGTTCCTCTCGAAACTCTGGGACTTCTAGCCTTTCGACCCTTGCCCCTGGTTCCATAATTTCTCTTTGTGGGCCTTGAATTATTGGGGCTTCTAACCTTTGTGCCCTTGCCCCCAAATTAACCTCCTCTCTGGGTGGTCTATAGGGTGGGTCGTTAACAACTTATTCTATAATAGGTACGTTTGCTCGAACTCCCGCCTGATTCTGCCTACGCCTTTCTGGGGGAGCGAAGAAATCTACTATTCGACTCATGTTATCTGCATTTTCTCTGTTTGTCACAGTTACATTTTGAACTATTGGGGCAAATATCTCCTGCATAGTTTGTGCTAATACTCCTATCATATTATGGTTACTGTCATCCATTAATTGCCTAAAAGTCAACTGGTTTTCTGTGGTTAAGATAGGCATTGTACTATAACCCACTGACCCTTGGTTATTTGTCATAAACTGATTTGCCCCAGACTCAGACCCTAATTGTGGTGATGAATTCGATGTGGAATTGTGTAAGCCTGCCATAAAAGATGTTGGCATTCCATAAGAGGAATTTCTGGTTCTATTACCATCGAAACCGGGTGGTCTAGTTAGTGGGGTAGCGAAATGGGTTTGTGTCCCTGATGGTGGGACGAATCCCCCAGGATAACCAATGGTTCCAGTATTTCCTAGGATCGAACTGTTAGTTGATATGCCACTTGTTTCATTAGTGGCTACATTACTGGTAGAGGATGCAACAGACTGTGCATTCGAAGGGATTGCATTAGATGTTCCCATCGAAGCAAACATATTAGTGCCTGTTGTATGTGGGATATTTTGTTCCCCTTGTTGATTGTCAGAATTAGACATCTTGTTTAAACGTTTTCTTCTGGATAAGGGTTGGTTGCTATTGGTTATTCTACCACTTCTAAGGTTCATAAAACAACAAACTTATCACTCAGAGAGTATTTTTACAATGGTTATGTCTCAACATTTTTTTTTTACTTTGTTCTAAATTTGTAATGGCCAATGACGTGTCCCACCAGGTGTGCCAATTTGTTTACAGTGATTTCTGGTAAACAACCGCTAGTCCTCCAAACTATCAAATAATCTTAATGACTGTTATTTAATCTCTCTGGTAACTTGCAGGATCGACTAAATTGATCCTAGGATGTATTGGTCATTTGGATAACTCTCATTATAGAACTGGTATTCATGGTTGGTATTTAGAATGTTGTGTAGGTGTTTAACTTACTTCGATTACTCTATTAAAGATCTAATAACATGATCAAGTAAATGCGCGCGAAACTAAATCGCATGAATAAAGTTCAATTGTAAAGACATATAAAACTGCAGAAAAGACAAGTAAATGACTTTGAAGCATAAAAACATGTAATATAAAAGATTCTCTGGAATGAAAAAGATTCGAAATATGAAGAAAGCGTTTAAATGCAAGAAAACAGTAAAATGACTTTAAATGAAAAAAGGTGTTCAAATGATAAAGGTATGAAGATAAATGCATGAAATATACAAAAGTTTCTGAAATGTAAAGTATTTGAAATGGAAAGAAAGCATTTAAATGTAAGGCATCAGTAAAAAGACTTCGAATGAAAATATTTTAATGCAAAGGCTTTTGAATGATATTGACATGAAGATAGAGGAAAATACTGGAAATGATAAAGAGTTTTATTAAATCATAAACACTTGGTGTTATCATACGTACATTGCTCGTGCATTCGTTTCCCTAGCCATGTGGTATTTTGAATGTTTATTGAGTTTTTTGTACAATAGATATGACACACGAAATCCTAATGCTAAGACTTCTATTTATACTACTTCGACCATAACGGTCTTGCTATAAGATTCTGCCACGTTCAGAACATGCAAAGCAATGCCTCTCTCTAGCTTCCACGCGTCTTCGAATGCTCCAGCGCATATATTTTAAATTTCGAACATCCCGCTTGCATTTGAATTTCAAATGTTTTGGCACTTCTTCGATTCGAACGCATTTCTTGGACACAGCCTTGTTACCACTTCGAGACTTCTTTTGAAGATATCCTCATAACTGTCACTCGAAGCTCAGAGTTTGACATGCCCATTCGAAGCACTGCTTCTACCATTTCGAAACATGACATCTTGCTTTATTCCAATCGAAACATCCAATTTGCTTTGCTTCGAACAATATCATCAAAATCTTCAGCCAACACCAAGCAACTACATTTTACTATTCTAACACCAACATACACAATGTAACTAACCTAATAAACTATTACAATATTGCATTGTGAATCAAATTAATTTGGAGAAAACTTACACAAATTTAAAAGCTTGAAGATGATTTGGGATGACTTGAAAAGATTTGAATGGAGAGATGAGCAAAAATGGATGAGTTTGAGTAGTAGAAATATTATGGTTTGGAGAAGAAAATGAGAAGTTTTGGTGTTTCAATAGAAAAGAGTTTGAGGGGTCAGTTATATTCGTTTAGTTGAATACAATTCACAGGCTTCACATGTGCATATGCGAAAGGAGGAATTATGGGTAACTTCGCAGATGCACATGCAAAGTCACAATATTTTTGATAAATTATAGATTAATTCGTAAATACACATGCGAAATCACCTGCTATTATACAATAGAATACTTTCACATTTGCACATACAAAGTCTAAAAGTATTTTGAATTTTTCACCGTAGAGACCAAAAGAAATTCCTATTATTTTTAGCTATTCATCTTTAAGTGATATGTTTTCTCATAAACACAACTAGCCTTTTTGCCGTTAGTTATGCTTTATAGCCTTTCTGGCCCTTTTAAGTTATTTCGAAAACTGGATTTACGGAATTGCATTTTTTTAATTATATACTTTTACTATATACTAGTATGTTGTAATACGAAGAGAATATTGTGGACACCAACTTCAAGCCGCTTTGTTCTTACTTGTTAATATTTTAATAGTTATAAAGAATTTAATAAGATGATTTCGTTTAGATAATATTTTCTGCCTCTTTCATAAGGATATTAATTAATTTTCTAAATTATTGTAAGATAGTTTCAACTCTGAAACAAGAAATAATTTGAAATTGAGGATATAGTTTCCCTTTGAATTTTCCACCAAGTTTCCAAACCATATTAAAGGTATAAAAAAAAACAGAGACTTCAAATTTCAACCCTAAAGGCCCTACTTCTAGGAAAACGCTCACCCACATTAGTTTATTGTTAGATTTCATAGTCTTAGTTGACATGTTCTCAATTTTGTTTCTTCTAAGTAATTACAGTAACATAATAAATAATTGACCGAAACATCACGGAAAATCACAAAGTAAAAAATGTCCAATATTTATAACAACTTTATAGTAACCAAATGGTTTGAACATATTTATGATATAGTATAGCTCTCCCTCTTTCTCTCTTTTTGTGAATCTTAAAATTTGTACTGCCTAGATGCTTGTTTATGTGGCAACATCATTGGACCTAAGTTGGTTTCTTGGGTTGTTTGGTTCCACTGAAAAGAAAGCACACATTTGTGATCATAGCAATAAAGTGGATGAGTCTAATTCGTCACGAGGTTACATATTATTGATAATTGTGATTGCTCTTGTGTTGTTGATGTTCTATTGGACTGGAGAAAACAAAGAAAACAATTCCAATATCAATGAGGTCGATGATGAGGAAGAAGAACCTGAGTATCCCGTGGATGAACAACAACTCATTCCCCAGGAATCCGAGCACCAAGGTGCGTCTTCAAGAGACGTTATTCCATGTGCCTTCTGTGGCAATTCAAGTACCACAAGATGTGCTCGCTGCAAGGTTGCTAGGTACTGGTAAGTATAATAATGAAATTGTTCTATTTTTGTGAGTATAGGTGTGTTTACTTTTCCACAAAAGTAATGTAAATATATAATGTTTGCGAATATTGGTTCAAATTCGATTTGTTTTGGTATTTATATTAGCTCAGGAGGATGCCAAATAGAACATTGGAGGTCAGGACATAGATATGAATGCATCCAATTAGAGAGTGAAGAAGGTGAAGCAAGAAATGCTCATGAAGAACAAACTCATATGCTTGTGGACAAGTATGATAACGTAAGGTTTCAATAAATCCTAAGAAATATGGCGTAATTTGTTTATGATGTTGATTTTGTCACATAGTATGTGCAAGTTGAACTCACTATGTCAGAGCTAGGTTGTTGATGTCAAAGTATTTTGACATATCTACCTTATTGTTCACACTAACAAATAAGATTAATAAAGTGTAACAACCATCTAGTATAGACAAAAAAGTGTTCAATATCGCCACTTGTGTAAAACTATTTTGAGTAGGGTCTTTATTCATAAAAATATTTTCTATTTCCACAACATGTTATTATTTTTATCGTTTTTTTTTTTGTGTGAATTTTAGTTTATGTTTGTCTTATTTGTTTGCCTGTGTGTCATTTTTACCCATTTTCATGTAAGCAAAATATTATTTGTTTAATTTTATTGTAAAAATTCAAATCCTATATTGGTTAAAGATAGAGTGCACAAAGGTTTATATAGAGTGACATTTTTCATTTTACAAGTCGATTTTATAGAGATGAGTTAGATCGTACTCTACTTCTATCATGATATCTTGAATTTATCTATTCGGGTCACCCACCATTTATATATGTGTACCAAGTCCGAAAAAAAAGTCCTGGAAGTGTTTTGAAAAAACCAAATCCCACGTATCGATAATTTGGGTCATCCACCGTTTATATCCACGTATCAAGCTCAATAGGCATGAGCAAATGTATTGGAAAAAACACAAATTCTACATTGGTTAAAGATAGAGCTCTTTATATAAAGTGACACTTCACATCTTACAAGTTGATTTTGTATATCAAATTTTGAAAGAAAATTGTTATGAATGATAGTCGCTAATAAGAAGAGTACTTTTGTGGCAGGAGAATAACCCAAATGGGTCTGTGAGTTCCAATAGTAGCAGTAGTAATGTGAAGAACTCTGAATCTGATGTTGGGTGTGAACAATGTGGCAGACCAAGTACCACCAAATGTTCACGATGCAAATCTGTCAGATACTGGTTACTTACTTACTCTTTCTAACTTATTAATATTTTCATTATTGCATATTCCTTAAACTTTCATTAATATTTCAGCTCTACAAAGTGTTTGATTACCAATTGGAGATGGCATAAATATAACTGCATTGCAGGAGATGTCAATTCAGCTCAACCAGAAACACCTAATAGAAACGTAAGTTTACTCCTTCGTGCTGCCAACATCAATATTTGATTTCCATTTTTAAACTATAATAAAGATTATACATAAATAACAGACAATCTGCGCCACCACGGAACTTATATTATAACTGAATATATTTTAACTCTTTCTTTCTAGGTTGAATTGCTCAAGAACTCAAATGAGGAGGAAGAGAAAATTCATTCACCTAGGCCACTTTATTTGGAGCTTCATCCTGGTTCCTTTCTCTTTCTTTTAATACTTGTCTTTAATTAAATATATTTTCCAAATTTCTTGATTGTATTGTATTGTATTTACAACTCCAATATCTTAGTCACTACTACCAAGGAAGCACAAGTGCATACAACTCAATGGGAGAAACACCTTGAAGATGAATTAGTAAAGTCTAGGTAACTTTTTTGTTTTCATTTCTTCTTCATGTCTAGTATGTGTTGCTTGAATAAAAACATCAAACTTAGTATTTGCTTTCTGTTGTTAATGTAAGGAAAGAGAATTTCGAACTACGGTCAGAGCGTGACCAGTGGAAGAAGCGAGCGAGTTTTGCTAGAGATAGATTTCAAAGTTTCAAGGAAGAATCTGAAAAACAAGTAGTTTATTACATAACATGCTCTTCAACAATTGAAACAATTGAAAATTTAATGACAGCATTTACTTCTTTGTTTCTTCTTATAGTTGTCTGTGTTGAGAAATGAAAATGAGTCAATATCAAATGCTGAGAAGAAAGGTGCCAATGTGATTCAAAGTTTACATGAGAGGCTAAACCACTTGCAGGTTTTGGATGAGACTAAGTTTTGTATTCTTGATAATTATGTAGTTCTTTTGTATGAATTCTTGTTGGTTAATTTAATTACCGCATAGATTGCAGCACAAGATAGCATTGCAAAGAAGAGAAAGTTAGAAAAACATATACAAATGGTAGAGGTATGTTTTGTTTTTCAGACTATTTTATAGTTACTTTTTTTCTCGCAATTCTTGTATTAGGTTCTTATATTTGACTTAATTCATCCTTGCAAGAGCGAACGTACTAAGCTGAAGAAAGAACTAGAAGAACAGCATAAAGATATTAAGTATCTTACACTAGAATCTAAAATGAGTCACGAGACAGCACAAACTGCCATAAGAGAAGTTGAAGCATTAAAACAAGAGCTTATAGAAGAGCGCAAAAATGTTCAACGAATTAAAGCGAATTTTATTAGAGATACAACATTCTCCAATTCAAAAGCTATCGTTGCTGAGGTACATTTTTGTGTCTCAACAATTTTATTAGTTTGTTACAAATAACTATATTTAGATGAAAATTTTACAGGTCTCACAGTTTTTGTTCTTGATTTTTTGGGCTAGGCAAAACTCAGTGATCTTCAGAGAAAAACAAAATTGAAAGATTATAAGGTGAATAACATTTCAGAGTTATGTTTACATAAACTTGAACAGGTTTATTTGTGCAAGTATAAACCTGAAAAGATTTGTTATGAAATGTAGGCATGCACTATATGTCTGACTAATGAGAAGGACATGGCTTTTGGGTGTGGACACATGGTAAGCTCTTGTAAATAAGTACCTTTTTTTTTTCCTCCTGCCAATCTTTCTCTAACTATAAAGAAATTCCTATGCAGACTTGCAGAGACTGTGGATCAAAACTATCAAAGTGTCCAATATGTCGTGAGCAGATCACGAGTCATATTAAATTGTTTTCTGGCTGAATCACTGTTTTTGAGTGCTTTTGTGCCACCAAATGGATGTTGTACATAGATTGTCATAGTGCTACAAAGCAACATATAGCTTACAATTAAAGGTTACAAATTTGTATAGTATTGTACTGTCTATGAAATGATACTCTAATTACAAAATTTATTTATATCATTGCCGTGTTGATTACAAATTTATTTACATCATTGCCATGCTTCCTATTTATAACACTATGTTGAATTTAGCCCTTTACAGTAATAGAGTTACTTGTTTTTTACTTGTGTTGCAGGAAGTTATCTAAAAGGAATGAGAATATTTTGAATTAGTTGAAAATCATGGAGATAAAGAAAGCTTTTATTCAACTTTTTTGTAAAGATAGATTGACATTGTGTTAGAGTTCAACCATTTGTGTGTTTTAATAATTTTAGATTAATGTTTTTAAGATTTTGCTAGTTCATAAATCATTGATAGTTGATGCTATCTTAATTCATGGAAATTGTTGCATTAGAATGTTTTCTATTAATAAAGGTTCGTTAAGGCTCAAATATGAGTTTTTAGGCCACTAAAAATCTGAAGTTTTTATTAATAGAGGCTCAAAATGTGTTATTGAGTCAAGAAATCTAATCAGCCAAGCAATCCAACAAAACCGTTCATATTAACCCGTGATCTGTCTTAATCCAACTCGTTCAAACCGATAGAAAAATGTGCAGAATAGAATCTTCATTTGTCAACTGCAGTTTGGACTGGGTGTAGGTTTTAGGCCGAACCCACCTAACCCGGTCCATTGTCCACTCTTAGTCACAGATTTGAATTTTTTTTCTTCGAAAATACCACTCTCTAAAAACTATTTCCCCACATGCCACATTTTTGCAATTCTTTTTACTCCCTCTAATTTATTTATAAGAAAAAATTTGTTTTTTTGAGATACATTGAATAATTAATGTATTTAGATAATATATAATTCATGTACATTAGTTATTTAATATATCTAAAAAAATAAACTTTTTCTTATAAATGGATGAAGGATATTATTTTTCGTTTTTAAATTTTTTAATAAATTAAAATATTTTAAATCATAAAATTATTATTTTAATAAATTAATAATTAATTAAAAATAAAAAATAATTAAAATATAAATTTAAAAAAAAAGTAAAAAATAAAAAAATTGTAACAACATTCTTCTTATTGCATTAACATTGATGTCCGACAAGTCTAGTAGAAGTGTACATATTTATGCGAATAACTCTAAGATTTTAAGAAATATTTTTGCATAAAAATAATTTGTATGTGTCAACACATGTGTTGTTGTTTTAAAGCATGAAAGTCTCTGGAATATTGTGTCGACACAAAGACCTCATATAGGTCGACACATGTCATTACATGTGTCGACACATAACTTACATGTATCGACACATGTGTCAAAATTTTGAAAATCTTTTCCTTTTCAAACTTCTAGGTCTCCCTTTTGCCTCCAACTTGCACACCTATATATACTTCATACATGCATCATTTTCAACTTGATGAAACTATAAACATATATAAGATTGTTCATCATCTTCAACCTTGCATCTATGCATACATACAAACAACATACACATAATCATTCAATGTTTGGGTGTCATCTAGACTTGTGTTGATAACATTCAATTTAGGTTGGTTGTAATCTAAGGTTGGGTTGAGAATCATATGAGGTCTCATCGAAAAAACAATGAGAGTTTTTACCCCAAGACGAAAGTGTGAATTTTGGGTTAATACAAGATTCTACAGATATTGGATTCGACAGAGTGAAAGGTTTGAAGAACGGGAAGTTCTTGCAAATGAGTAGCGCGAGATAGTGAATCGTTTGGGAATCTTGGTATACAACAATTATGCAATTTGGATTCGACCGAGTGACAAGCTTTGGAGAATGGTGGTTTCTTGCAAAGGAGTAGCGTGAGACGGTGGATCAAATTGGTATTGTTGGGTGACTTGATCAAACTCATATCAAGGGAAGAGAAATTGCTATGATCAACATCAAACATAGGGTTTGTAGGGTTGGATGGTGTAACACCTTATTTTCCCCATCGATAGTTTAACGAAAATCAGAGTAAATAAATTTTTAAATCAAAACATCAAGAATAAGATGCCACATCTTTCAACATATCACAAATCTGCTCAAGTATAATTAAACAGATACATAACATACTTTCGGATGAACCAACAACATTTTCAAAATAGTTCTAAAAAATTTCACCTTTATTAATGCAGCGGGAAATAATTCATATTTATTATTCAACATATTCAAGCAATCATAAACCAACGTTTAATCAAATAAAAGAGAGTTTACAATACTCCCACAATTTTTCAAAATAAAACGACAACTAAACAAAACAAGTAAGCATTCATCCCCCCGGTGTTACGTACCAGAGCACAACGCCAACTCGAGATAAATGATGGTTAATTTAGTCTACCATGGATCACTTGCATGTTACCCGTGTAGAGGCAACATTCAAACAAAAGGGATGAGATATCACAACATTTCGAACTACGCATCAATCGGATACTCGAAACTCAAGTTATGAATTTTTGAAGTTTTACAAGATTTACCAACACCGACGCACAACATTAGTACCACAATGCTACGATTCACTATTCAAAAATGTAAATTAACACATTAATTGACATGGCACTAACACAAATAATATACAAACTTTTTACCTATCACTTCCAGTCTGGAATGTCCAATAGTTTGCATTATCCCTATAACTTCGAATGTTCAATTGTTGACTCCAATAAGTCATAGCCGCATAACAAACTATGACACATCACACTTCCACGACACCACTCTGATCATTTATATTAAAGTCACTGTCCTTATTTAGATTTCCATCAATTATCAGATCTACAAGTTTTACATATATCTTCAGACTCTCTTTAGCATCCACCAGAAAATAATGGTTCACTTTTGACATTCTCAACCTTCCACTCTGCGGTGTTAGCTCGCGTACAACTCAACGTATCTTAACTATCCAATAAGTCCTAACTCTTTTATAGCCACTTTTGCATTAGGTTCACACAAAATGGTGAACAACTATCCTCTCGATACAACGTCAATTCACTTTACTCACTATCAAGCTAGCAAGACAAGTCTATCCCATCCAATAAGATCCCGTCTACTATCAATGAGAGATTAAGGGTGACCAGTTCCTCAATTTTTCAATAGGTAGCCGACAACCGTAATGGTGGCATAAATCATCGTTACCTAACTACAATAGCGTCATTTATCTTGTGCTCAAAGTTACCTAATCATAATTTTCAATAATCTCCCTAAGGTTTACAAACGTTTCCTTAATTTCCTTCTTTTTAACCCCGTTACTGACACATAACGCCCAAAATCCATTACATATTCCCCCATACACGCTCGTAGCACAACAGAATTGTTAAATATTCTCCCAATATAAGAGTTTCTACTACACCAAGTATAATCCAAATCGGTTCGCTCCAAATGAAGTGTTTATCCAAGTAGAGAACTTTAACACCACTAATAAATCCTTCGTCTTTCCTTTAATCTCATAACCTCACTGATCCATATAATCTCACATTTGGATCTCATTCTAATCACAGTCTCAACAATACCATCTCGTCATCCGGTTGGTGATAGAGACTTCCAAAATTCCCCTGATACATGTCGATACCATGTCATCAATGATACACAATCCATTTTACTATTTAACCTTATCTTTTCCTTAAAGGTCTCTCTACTCTAACTATCATCAATTGGCATAAACTTCACTACTATGTACTTCTCCAATATTTTCACATCCTTCCTATCACCACACGTCTCATACTAGACCTCATCTCAAGCCAACCACAATAATAATCAGGTAAGCTGAAAAGCTTCTAATCTTCGTAACCGACTTAAAAGTCTCCTAATGTAGAACTACATCTACTTGGAATGGATCCACAGTTACCACTATCCGAAATAGAATACTCAAGAAAAATCACCCCCTCAAACTATAATTTACACGTTAACAACTTAACATAAATTTTTCTCCCTTTCGACACTACAATACAAATCGCAACGTTCAACATGTCCATAATTTGATTTGGATTAAATCATAATGGCCTCAATAAATACTATAATAAACTGATCCAAATATTCGTAATGCCTATAACAAGTTCTAAAAGTTTTCCTCTAGTTATCCTCTTCCTTCACCCAAATCTGAAGGTAACTCAACCTCAATTCGAGTATACCGAAGGCGTACTCGCCTACCCGTTGATCTGTCGAATCATCAATCATTTGAAGTGGATGTTTAATTTCAATCATTACCTTAATTAACTGTCTATAGTCAACACATGACCTCATACTACCATCCTCATTCTTTACTAACAACACCGGAGGTCCCAAGTGATACGCCCAGTCTTACAAATCTATTATCCACACATCTCCTAATAGCTTTTTCAGTTCTCCCAACTTTGAAGGTGATATCCTGTATGGTGCCATAGGAACAAGTCTGGTACCAAGAGCGAGATCAACAACAAACTCCACCTCTAATATAACATCACAAAGTGACAAATAAATTAATTTCAGGTGCTGGAACCATTCTTAAAACAAAATTCATTACATTAGCTTTCTAATGTTTTGAACGGAACTCGAATCGGACGTCCATAACTCAAGTTATGAATTTTTGAAGTTTTCAGAAAATTCAGTTCAACACAGTGGTAATCGGTTCCCTCCAGGATGGTAAACAATTACATCTCTGTAACCCAAAAATACTACGCTACCGTCCAGTTAGAAGTTAAGTGAACCGGAGATTCAGTCTTTAGAAGTTCTCGATTATTTTCAGATGATGAGGATTAAGGAATTGTTGCCTTTAACTGATAAAGAGCTTCCATCCTTCCTTGGTAAATGTTTATAATTCTTCTATTAGCGTTCATGTTTAAGTTATCCTTTAGGTACTTATGTTTGTTTTACCTTTCTCTTTTGCAGAAAGGATGACTGACATATCTGTTGATGAGCAGAAGAAATTGATGC